AACTGCAGCTATATATATATATTTATCAGCTATAGTAAATTTAATGCTGATGATGCAATACTTTCATCCGTAAGGTTTATACTCCACCTGTTGGTTTGAGAAGTAGTTTGACAACTTTGAAATGAAATGGCAGTTTCTTTGTTGCCTGAGTGACGCCACGCTTAAGACTCACTCATGGTTGGGCGTGGTGGCTTATGCCTGTAATCCCAGCACTTTGGGAGGCTGAGGCAGGAGGATTGCTTGAGGCCAGGAGTTTGAGACCAGCCTATGCAACACAGTGAAACCCTGTCTTTACCAAAAACAGAAACAAAACAAAATAAAACAAAAAAGAAAATCACATCTAAGTTTCCAGAGGAATCACAACAGTTAAAGGCAAGGGCCCTGGAACCAGGGAGCTGGGCTTTTGATCCTGGCTCTGAATCCCATCAGAAAAGTGACCTTGATTAAGTTATGTGATCTCATCATGCCTCAGTTTCCCCAGTGGTAAAATGGGGATAATTTTAGAGATGCGTGGTGAAAACATTTATAGGTGAATTGATGCAAGCTCTGGACTTTGCTTCAAAATAATCCCAATTTTTGGGGGTGCAGGGAGGGGGATTGTCGGGAGCATAGATGAAACAAGATTGGCCATGAGTTGATCATTGTTGAAGCTGGATGATGAATATATTCTTACATCTACTCTAGTGTATGTTTGAAATAATCCACAGATAAAACAGTTTTTTCAAAGAAAAGTAAAACTGAAGGACATGAATAGACAATTCTCAAAAGAAGATATTCAAATGGTCAACAAACCTATGAAAAAAATGCTCGACATCACTCATTATCAGGGAAATGCAAATTAAAAACACAGTGAGATACCACTTTACTCCTGCAAGAATGATCATAATTAAAAAATCAAAACATACAGATGTTGGCCGTGGATGTGGTGAGAAGCGGACTTTTACACGTCCGGCGGGAATGTAAACTAGTACAATCACTATGGAAAACAGTATGGTGATTCCTTAAAGAACTAAAAATAGAACTATCATTTGATCTAGCAATCCCACTACTGGGTATCTACCCAAAGGAAAATGAGTTGTTATATGAAAAAGACACTTGCATGCACATGTTTATAGCAGGACAATTTGCAGTTGCAAAAATATGGAACAAATCTAAATGCCCATTGACCAGCCAGTGGATAAAGAAAATGTAGTACCAGGCATAGTGGCTCCTTCACGCCTGTAATCCCAGCACTTAGCGAGGCCGAGGCGGACAGATCATAAGGTCAAGAGATCGAGACCATCCTGGCTAACATGCTGAAACCCCGTCTCTACTAAAAATACAAAAAATTGCTGGGCTTGGTGGTGCACGCCTGTAGGCTGAGGGAGGAGAATCGCTTGAGCCTGGGAGGTGGAGGTTGCAGGGAGCCGAGATCGCACCACTACACTCCAGCCTGGTGACAGAGTGAGACTTCGTCTAAAACAAAAACAAAAACAAACAAACAAACAAACAAAATTGTGTATTCACCAAGGAATACTGCTCAGCTACTCAGCCATAAAAAGGAACAAAATAATGACATTTGCAGCAAGCTGGATGGAGGTGGAGACCATTATTGTAAGTGAAGTAACTCAGAAATGGAAAATCAAATATCGAATATTCTCACTTATAAGTGGGAGCTAAGCTATGAGGGTGCAAAGGCATAAGAATGTTCTAATGGACTTTGGGGACTCAGAGGGGAAGGGTGGGAGGGGAGTGAGGGATAAAAGACTACACATTAGGTATAGTGTAAACTCCTCAGGTGACGGGTGCACCAAAATCTCAGAAATCAGCCCTAAAGAAATTATCCATGTAACCAAAAACCACCTGTTCCCCCAAAAATATTGAAATAAGAAAAGAAAAATGGGTGAAAAGTGGAAGGGGTGCCGATTACAACTTACGTGCCTTAGCGGGTTGTTAAGAGGAGGGATTAAGTAATTTAAATTAAATCGGCCGGGCGCGGCGGCTCACGCCTGTCATCCCAGCGCTTTGGGAGGCTGAGGCCGGAGGATCACGAGGTCAGGAGCTTGAGAGCAGCCTGTCCAACATAGTGAAACGCCATCTCTACTAAAAAAATCACAAAACATTAGCTGGGCGTGGTGGCAGGCCCCTGTAATCCCAGCTACTTGGGAGGCTGAGGCAGGAGAATCCTTTGAACCCGGGAAGCAGAGGTTGCAGTGAGCCGAGACCATGCCACAGCACTCCAGCCTGGTCGAAGAGTGGGACTCCGTCTCAAAAAAGAAGAAGAAGAAGAAAAAAATCTAAGTAAAGCACTTAGAATAATGACTGGCACATAGTAAATGCTGTGTGAGTTGCTGTTCTTCCAGGCCAGAAGCGGCGCAATGTTACCACCAGGTGGCGCTGTATTCTCCCTGCTCCACAGGTTACTCAGGCTCAGAGTCCTGGGGGGCATCACAACAGCCCTGAATTTGAATCCTGCTCTGCCACTGCCTGGTTGAGACTTTTACTACCTGCCTAGCTGAGACATTTACTAGCTCTAGGCCTTATTTTATTCATCTCATTACTTTTCTTCTTTTTTTTGAGACAGAGTTTCACTCTGTCGCCCAGGCTGGAGTGCAGTGGCATAATCTCGGCTCAACTTTCGCCTTCAGGGTTCAAAGGATTCTCCTGCCTCAGCCTCCCGGGTAGCTGGGATTACAGGTGCCTGCCCCACGTCTGGCTAATTTTTGTGTTTTCAGTAGAGACGGGGTTTCACCATGTTGGCCAGGCTGGTCTTGAACTCCTGACCTCCTGTGATCCACCCACCTCGGCCTCCAATGTGCTGGGATTACAAGCGTGAGCCAACACACCGGGCAGAAAGCTGGTTTTCTTGAGAGATGATGAAGACTTGAGGCCACGTCAATCATACCTGAGTTAGAATTCCAGTTCCAGCACCTACAATCTATATTTCCTTTGATAAATTACTTAACCAATCTGCCCTTCAGTTTCCTCCTTTATCAAATGAGTATTTTAACAAAATCTCTATATAACATACAGCAATCACGATAGATACACCATGAGGATTCAATATGATACTGTAGGAAATCCTTTAATGCAAGGCTTGGCACCAAAAGCAACTCCTATCAACCTTAAAATATTAAGACTAATATTAAACTAGTACTTGAGGGCTTGTTATGTGTCAGGCACATAACACCATGAATTCTCATAGTAACACCATGAGACAGATAATACTGTCATGATCCCCATATTATGGAAGAGGGAACTGAGGCTCAAGGAGATATTACTTGTGGAAAGTCACACATTTGGGATTTAAAAAAAGGCATCCTGTCTCCAGAGCCCGTATTACTCACCATTATGCTAGACTGGACTCCCTCACCCTCCTAACCCATCTTGTGTGCCCCAAATTCAAGTTTCTTCTGGGTGCAAGGTCTTTGAACAGCCAGAGGTCTTCCATCCCTTCCATCTTCTCTACTGGAGTGGATGACTCAAGAAGTAGAAAATAGGCCAGGCGCGGTTGCTCACACCTGTTATCCCAGCACTTTGGTCTGGGGTCAGCGTTCAGGCGGAAGCAAGGCTTGGGGTTCAGGTTGTCCATTTTTCATTTTCTCAGAATATTTATTGACCTGTTGTCAGCTGATATTTTGAGATATCCAAGCCCTGGCCCATTCCCGCACCAGATAAGTCCAAAAGCTAGGCTAGGATAGCATGTTCAGTCTCTCCTTCTATCACCACATCACCTTTTCTTTCTTTGTTTCTTTCTTTCTTTCGTTCGTTCATTCTTTTTTTTTGCCAGGATCTCACTCTGGCACCCAGGCTGCAGTGCAGTGGCATGGTCTGGGCTCACTGCAGCCTCGACCTCCTGAGCTCAACTGATTCTCTCACCTTAGCTTCCCAAGTAGCTGGGAATACAGGCATGTGCCACCACATTCAGCTCCTTCTTTTTAATTTTTTTATAGAGAGGGTAGAGAGGGAGTCTTGCTATGTTGTCCAGGCTAGTCTCAAACTCCAGGGCTCAAGCAGTCCTCCTACCTCGGCCTCCCAATATATTCTGGGATTACAGGTGTGAGCCACCGCACCCAGCCTACATTACCTTTTCTTACTCGGTCCCTCCTGCCTCCCTCTAAAAAGGATCCCTGTGATTACATTAGGCCCAGCCAGATAGTCTGGAGCAAACTTCTTATCTCAGAATCCTCAACTTAATCCCATCTGCAAGGTCCTTTTTACCACGTAAGGTAACAAATTCACAGGTTGTAAGCATAAGGACATGGACATCTTTGGGGGCCATCACAACCCGCCACGACACCATGATCTGTAACAGCCTCGCACTGGGTCAGGCCCTTCACTGACTCCCAGTCACACACTCACTAACTCCTTATAGTAGCTCCATGATGAGAGAAGTGCCATCAGACCCATTTTACAGATGAGAAAACTGAGGCTCAGAGAAAGGAAGTCAGTTTGCCAAGTCACACCAAGACTAAGAGACCAATGAGGATTCAAACCGCGTCCATCTAACTCCAGATCTGGTTTTCTGGGCTGTGCTATTGCGTCCTGGGTGCTGTGTTGAAATGTGTTGTTTCGGCTGGGCATGGTGGCTCACGCCTGTAATCCTAGCACTTTGGGAGGCCAAGGTGGTGGATCACTTGAGCTCAGGAATTCGAAACCAGCCTTGGCAACATGGTGAAACCCTGTCTCTACAAAAAATACAAAAACTAGGCCTGGCACGGTGGCTCATGCGTGTAATCTTAGCACTTTGGGAAGCCGAGGCGGGCGGATCACTTGAGGTCAGGAGTTCGAGACTAGCCTGGACAACATGGTGAAACCCCATCTCTACTAAAAATACCAGAAAAAAAAAAAAAAAATTAGCCAGGTGTGATCTCAGCTCCTTGCGGGGGCTGAAGCAGGAGAATCACTTGAACCCGGGAGGCAGAGGTTGCAGTGAACCGAGATCCTGCCACTGCACTCCAGCATGGGCGGCGGAGCAAGATTTCATCTCAAAAAAAAAAAAACAAAAAAACCCAGAAAGAAAGAAATGTGCTGTTCGGTATTTACTATGGTCTGTTCAGCTGTTGGACGGCCAGATGCTAGGTGTTGTGTTATTTCTGGGTGAGATTGTAGAGTTGTCAGGCGCTGCATGTGGTTTTGCGTTGTGTCATCTGCTGGCTGCCAACATTGTTGCGTTGCTGCATAGTGTGGCCTTTGTTCTGCTGCCTTGATTGTACGTGTTGTGATGTCACATCGTGTGTTGGGTGCTGTCTGCTGGGTTGCTGTGTACTAGTGTGTGTTGTGTGGCAGGATTATGGAGCTGTATGCTGGCATTATGTGTTGGTGTGTGGTTACTGTGTCTTGGGATGTTTCCGGGCTGGTTGTTAGGTCACCGAGTGTCCTGTGTTGGCATCTACTGTGATCCTATTCGCTGGGTGTTCTGTTGCCCTGTGTTGTTGTGTTCCGTGATGCCTGATGATTGCCTTGTGCTATGTTGCGTGCTGTGTGTTGTGTTGCCAAGAATAGCCGGTTCTGTGGTGGGTATTGTTGCTGTGGATGTGCTGCAGGAAGTTGTGGGTTCTGTGCTGTCTGTGGCATTGACACATGCTTTTGGGGTGTTGTTAAGCAGCATGTTGTGACCATGTGCCTGTGCTCTGCACCGCAAGACACGTTGCCATGGTTGAGTCGGATGTTGTGCAAATTAATGGTGTTGCTGCATGAGGTCTGGTGTGCTGCACATCGCGTCTTCCTGATCCATTCCCCACCCTCAGGCGAGCCCTTTGACCCCACGTTTGTGCTGAGTCACTCAGTGTCCAACATTATCTGTTCCGTGCTCTTCGCCAGCTGCTTCCACTACGATGATGAGCGTCTGCTCACCAGTATCCGCCTTATCAATGACAACTTCCAAATCATGAGCAGCCCCTGGGGCGAGGTCAGCCAAGTGAGTCCAGCTGGGACGGGGTGTGGGTTCCGCAGGACCTAGGAATGGAGAGGAAACAGTGGGCGGGGAAAGGGCTGCGAATGGCCCTCCCAGGGCCCGCCCCTCCCATCTGACCCCGCCCAGAGTTACACGGCCACGCCCCCTCCCCTCCCCTGAGCATTTATGGCCGCCATTCCCTCCTTCCCACTCCCCCTCAGCCCCAACCCCAACCCCGGCCTCTCCAGAACCTGGCTACCCTTCGAGACCCAGTCCCTGCCTACCTCATCCACACAGAACCCATTCGCCCCTGAACACCCTTCGTCCTCCTCCAAAACCCTCCCACTCTGTCTGGTCCCCAGTTGTACAACATCTTCCCGAGCCTCCTGGACTGGGTGCCCGGGCCGCACCAACGCATCTTCCAGAACTTCAAGCGCCTGAGAGACCTCATCGCCCACAGCGTCCACGACCACCAGGCCTCTCTAGACCCCAGATTTCCCCGGGACTTCATCGACTGCTTCCTCACCAAGATGGCAGAGGTAATCCCTACCTGGAAATCCCACCTCTAGTCTGACCTGAAATTCTCCTGCTGCCCCGGCCTCAAACCCACAGGGACCCCAGATGGGGCAGGGTTGGGGGACCTTCTCCCTGGAGAAGCTGAAGCATCTGGCCCAGCTGGGCTGGAGCCAGGAGCCACTCGCAGCCACCTCCAATTACAGCTCATTAAGAAGTCATCAAAGGAGGTGGGGCGGGGCGGGGCGGGGGAGGGCGCGGGAGGGCGCAGTTGCTCACCCTTGTAATCCCAGCACTTTGGGCGGCCGAGACAGGAGGATTGCTTGAGTCCAGGAGTTCGAGACCAGCCTGGACAATATAGTAAGACCCAGTCTCTGCAATACATACATACATACATAAAACATATTTTTTAAAAAACAAAAAACAAGAAGTCATTCAAGCTCTATCCAAGAAGTTAATTGTAGGCCCTGCAGCTGAGATTTTCCCAGCCCTGCCCTTCTGCGTTCCCCAGCTCTCCTAGGGAAAGAAAGTTAAACCCAGCTGGGACTGAATGGGCCCCCAGCAGCAGTCCTACTGGTCTAGAGGGAAGGGGTCTCCATCCCTGGCTCACATCCCCACCCCTCCACCCCGGCAGGAGGAGGACCCGCTGAGCCACTTCCGCATGGATACCCTGCTGATGACCACACATAACCTGGTCTTTGGCGGCACCAAGACTGTGGGCACCACGCTGCGCCACGCCTTCCTGGCACTCATGAAGTACCCGAAAGTTCAAGGTGAGGCCCACCCACACAGCAGCGCGGAGGTGCCCATGTGTTCCAGCCTCACCCCAGAGCAGGGAGCCACAGCCCCGCCTCCAGCCCCGCCTCCCAGGTCTGAGATAGCCTCCTGCTGACCCCAGGAGTCCAAGCCAAACCCACAAACCCACACGGAGGCCGATCCCACCCACACAGACCATGAGGTCCACGCAGCCTGCCCGAATCCCGACCCACATCCCACCCGCTTAGTTGTTTTTTTTGTTTTTGTTTTTGTTTTGTTTTTTTTGGAGATGGAGTCTGGCTCTGTCACCCAGGCTGGAGTGCAGTGGTGTGATCTCGGTCGGCTCACTGCAATCTCTGCCTCCCGAGTTCAAGGGATTCTCCTGCCTCAGCCTCTCAAGTAGCTGGGATTACAGGTGCACATCACCACATCCAGCTAATTTTTGTATTTTCAGTAGAGACAGGGTTTCACCAAGTTGGCCAGGCTGGTCTCGAACTCCTGGCCTCAAGTGATCCACTCGCCTCAGTTTCCCAAAGTGCTGGGATTACAGGCGTGAGCCACTGAACCCAGCTCTGCTTAGTTTTTTGTTTGTTTTTGAGACAGAGTCACTCTGTCACCCAGGCTGGAGTACAATGGTGCAATCACAGCTCACTGCAGCCCCTTGGGCTCAAGAGATCTTCCCACCTCAGCCTTATCAATAGCTGGGAGTACAGGCGTGCACCACCACACTCAATACACTCAGCTAACTTTTTATTTTTTGTAGAGACAGGGTCTTGCTGTGTTGTCCTGGTGGGTCTCCAACTCCTGGGCTCAAGCAATCCTCTCACCTCGGCCTCCCAAAGTGCTGGGGTTACAGGTGTCAGCCACCGTTCCCCACCTCCACCCACTTGGTCTTGCCTTGTTCCGACCGTGTCCACCACTGCATACGTCCACCTCCGGCTCCAGAACCCAGCTAACAGTCTTCCCAGAGCCCCAGCCACACACCTGCCAGGGAACCCTACCTCTCCCACACAGCCTGGCCCCCACACACAGCTCTGTCTGCTATTCCACCTCCCCAAGCTCTACCCTGGCTAATTCTTTTTTTTTATTTTTCCTTTTTTTTTTTTTTTTTTTTTTTTATGACGGAGTCTCGCTGTGTTGCCCAGGCTGGAGTGCAGTGGCCCGATCCCGGCTCACTGCAACCTCCGCCTCCCAAGTAGCTGGGACTATAGGTGTGCGCCACCATGCCCAGCTAATTTTTTTATTTTGTTTTAGAGACGGGGTTTCACCATGTTGCCCAGGCTTGTCTCTGACGGGGGCCAGCCCCTCCACACCTGTGGGTATTTTTCGTCAGGCGGGACGAGAGGCAGAGAAAAGAAATAAGGCACAGAGACAAAGTATAGAGAAAGAACAGTGGGCCCAGGGGACCGGCATTCAGCATACGGAGGACCCGCACCGGCCCCAGTCTCTTGAGTTCCCTCAGTATTTATTGATTACTATTTTCACTATCTCGGCTAATGGAATGCGGCAACAGAACAGGGTGATAGTGGGGAGAAGGTCAGCAGGAAAACATGTGAGCAAAGGAATCTGGGTTACATATAAATTCAAGGGAAGGTACTGTGCCCGGATGTGTGCCTAAGCCAGGTTTATGCTTCTCTCCATCCAGACGTCTCAGTGTAGCAAAGAGTAAGCGAGCAGCATTGCCGCCAGCATATCGCCTCCAGCCACAGGGCGGTTTTCTCCTATCTCGAATAGAATGAATGTATGATCAGGTTTTACACCGAGACATTCTGTTCCCAGGGATATGCAGGAGTCAGAGGCCTTCCTCTTATCTCAACCGCAAGAGGCTTCCTCAGCACAAACCCTTCATGTGTGTCAGGCTGGGGGACGGTCAGGTCTTTCCCTTCCCACGAGGCCATATCTCAGGCTGTCGCAGTGGGGGGAACCTTGGACAATACCCGGCTTTCTTGGGCAGAGGTCCCTGGGCTTTCCGTAGTGCATTGTGCCCTGGTTAATCGAGAATGGAGAATGGCGATGACTTTACCAAGCATACTGCCTGTAAACATATTGTTAACAAGGCACATCCTGCACAGTCTTAGATCCCTTAAACCTTGATTCCATACAGCACATGTTTCTGTGAGCACAGGGTTGGAGTTAAAGTTACAGATCAACAGCATCTCAAGGCAAAACAATTTTCTTAGTACAGATCAAAATGGAACTTCTTATGTCTTCCTTTTCTACATAGACACAGTAACAGTCTGATCTCTCTTTTCTCTACATATCCCCCTTTTCTTTTTGACAAAACCGCCATCGTCATTATGGCCCGTTCTCGCTGGTCACTGTCTCTTCGGAGCTGCTGGATACACCTGTAGACTAACAACAGACAACAGGCATACAAGGATTAATATGAAATTTACAATAGTGGAACTTCTGATGATTTTAACCCAACTGACCGGGTTAAGATTGGCGAGGCCATCAGCAGCATTCACGATTGCCTCAGTTCCTGGCACCACATTTAAATGGGCTTTTGATGCCTCAAAAATGTGTTCTTTTAATTTTGAAAAGTCTAAAGTAAGATTATCTTTTCCTTGTACATGGTGTCTAACCATGTCCCGGTAATGCTCAGACTCATTATAGGCTTGGGGTGTAATACAAAAATCTGACGTATTCCAGTCACACTGTAACTGAAAATGATGTTCCAAGCTCATGAGCCTATCTCTCATCCAAATGACAGTTTGTCTAAGATCATTAATTTGGTTTGCCAATTTTTGATCTATTTGGGTCTCAGATTTTCACAATTTTGAGAAATTCTTTGGCCAATCATGGACAGATTTTGCAGTTTGAACAGAGGATTGTAAAGCAATTCCAGCACCCGCAGCAATAGCTGTGACTGCAATAAGGCCCATAATCACTGAAATCAAAGTAAAAATGAATCTTTTGGATCAAGTTAGAATTCCTTTATAATACTTCCATTAAAATATGGATGAATGGCGAGGCCTCCCACGGTTGGTCCATGGACACAGGATCCACACGCCCTCTCTTGCTCTCACTAGTAGAATATGGTGCTGCCAATTAAAAGTCGAATCAATGCAAGGAAAAAATCTACAATTTTCACAGGTTATAGTTTGGGAATCTGGTTTGATAACTATGTTTCCTACAACTAGCATATAAGGGGGTTTTATACAACTTTGCAAAGAAATTGTCAGACTGGAATTTAGTTTGATAGTATAATATGGCTTATAATCTTTTGTTCCTGTGGCTTGATTTCCAGACCAAATTCTAATGTGGTGCAAGGCCGCAGTAAACTTCCGTAATTCTGGATGTTCAGGACCAGTAACAGGACTAACTAACTTTGGTCGAGGTGATGAAATTCCCTTTTCACCCCATTTCCATGGATAGGGTGATTCTAACCTTCTATAAATCTGGTTCAGTGTTTCAGTTAAATCACTATCATAGGCCAGATTAATGGGCAAGATGGCTGGGGCCTGTGAATATGAGTGAGTCTGGCCCATACAATTATGATATAATTGGCCTCGAGGGGCCCAGTCTCTACTAGTTCCGAGTTCATTGTTTTGTAGTACCACCGCAGTATCAGCCACATATTCTTCCCAAACTGAGACTTCTGGGCTTTTTGGTTCTTCGGGAATTTCCTTGGGGCAAGGCTTCCCCTTAAGCCTAGGTTTTAATGATCTTTGATAAGAAGGGTCCTGTAAATCATTTATTTGTGGCCCGAGTGACATTCCACTTACCATGTGATAAGTAAATCTACTGGTGGCACTGACAGTAGTTACTTTTACCAACCTTTTGGCTTGTAGGCATTAAACATCCTGGTGCCTTCCCTAAGCAAATAGGAGGATAATGATACCCAATGGAAATATTTATCATCATTTCTTCTTCTTCAGGATGGGCAGAGCAACGGTCATCTGTGGGGCCAGGTACGCATGCACTATTATTAACATATACTTCAATAGGATTATCCATCCATGTGACTGCCCGAATGAAGGGCAGGAAAGGCACATAGGCCCAGTGGGTATAATTAGCTGCAGCTGCTCCTGCAGACATGGGAAGACTTACCACCATTGATAGAATCATCAAAGCTGCAAGCAGCATATTCTCTGGAGTTTGTGTCACCTTTGTGTTTTCTAGGCTTTTTTCAGCCAACTGTATCAGCTTCTTTAATTGTGCCCAAGTTGGCAGCTCTGCTTTCTTGGTGGATGACAGCATTATCTGTAAGTTGTAGATACCTAAACTGGAAGCTGGTTTTTTTCCTGGAGAAATACAAGCAAAACCTCTCCCCCACGTTATCACCTTCCCTATTTCCCATGTTTTATTTTTATTATCTTTTTACCAAATCAGTTTTTCTTCATGTGGGCTGTTCCTTTTACCATTAAGTTGTTGTTCTACAGAGGTAGTGGTCTGATTTCTATAAATGTGTAAAAAATTTAAAGTATAGTGTGCTAGATTAAGTTGCATCTGGGGAGCGTTACACTCTTTACTGTCTTTTCCTTTTTTTTTTTTTTTAACCAATTGAGCTTTGAGTGTTCTATTAGTTCTCTTAATTATGGCCTGTCCTTGGGAATTATAAGGAATTCCTGTTGTGTGTGTAATTTTCCACTGATTTAATAATTTTTGAAATGCTTTACTACAGTATCCTGGTCCATTGTTCGTTTTAATTTTTTTTTTTTGAACTTTTGTGGTAGCAAAACAAGATAATAAATGTCTTTTTTTTTTTTTTTGAGACGGAGTCTCGCTCTGTCACCCAGGCTGGAGTGCAGTGGCCGGATTTCAGCTCACTGCAAGCTCCGCCTCCCGGGTTCACGCCATTCTCCTGCCTCAGCCTCCGGAGTAGCTGGGACTACAGGCGCCCGCCACCTCGCCCGGCTAGTTTTTTGTATTTTTTAGTAGAGACGGGGTTTCACCGGGTTAGCCAGGATGGTCTCGATCTCCTGACCTTGTGATCCGCCCGTCTCGGCCTCCCAAAGTGCTGGGATTACAGGCTTGAGCCACCGCGCCCGGCCAATAAATGTCTTCTAACATGGGAAGTACTTTCTCCTGTCTGGCAGGTTGCCCATATGAAATGTGAATAATTATCAACTGTCACATGGACAAATGACAATTTTCTAAATGAACCTAGGAGGCAGAGAGGTTACAGTGAGCCAAGATTGTGTCACTGCACTCCAGCCTAGGTGACAGAGCTAGACTCCATCTCAAAAAAAAAAAAAAAGAAAAGTATAAATTGCTTAAAACAGTGTGTGACACATAGTAGGCATTCAGCTCATGTTAACTGTTGTTTTC